TAATACCGAAAATTTCCCTTATACTTATCTGCCAAAGTCTGTCTATTCCAGACATTCTGGATTATTAGGTCAATATTTTTCCTTTTCAAACTTCTTTTGGTATCTTATCCTACCCTACCCCCCACCCCACAACAAATCAATATCGCCTGGCCTATGATGTGGTCTACTCTACAAGTCAGTTTGTATCGTAAAGCTTTGTGTATTACAACAAGGGGTGATTGGAGGAGAGGGAGGGAGTAGAGAGGAATTTTAAAGTGTAGAATTGTTTTCAATGCTTCGAATTAAAACCCTCAAAGTCATTTTGTTATATAGTATAGCATGTTTTCTTACCGCAGACTCCAATATGAAAAATTAAAAAGTAAGCATCGCCTTATTGACACTAAAAGTCTGTTTGCAGGCATTACTTGCGTTTCCTGACCTTCATTGATTGGCACAACGTACTAAACACGGCCTTTAAATGATGTTTTGTTAGGTGGTTGGACAACAACCAGATGAAGGAAGTACCATCAGACATTTTTAGTAAAAACACCTTGCTCTGGGACCTGTAAGTTTATACCCTGTTTATTATACAAAATATGCCTTAAATCCAAAGCTACCGAACAGTTAAGTAATGTTTTATCCAAATGTCCTCTTCCCTCTAATTCTGATGCACTGTACACTTGGACCCACCTCTCCTTGTTTTGACCTCTGCTGAACACTATGTGCCACTCCTCGTTTCCCCGTAACATGAGCAGCCCTAGCAAGAAACCTTTGAGGCTATGTGGTCATGTACTTTGAAATGGGTAAGTAAGAATTCGAAATGGCTGCTCGAGTATGTGCTGCAGACAACATTTTATGGACGAAACTCCTTTTTCTTTGCCGAAATTTTCATATTCACGGATAAATCAGGACTCTAGTGATTGCGCTAATATAGGAATCGGCGACGATTGAAGTGGTCTTTTTAAAACAAAAATTGAGATTATTAAAAACAAACGAGCACACGATCTTTAGAGATAAAAAAGATAAATGAAACGGGCACAAAAGGTAAGGAAATATATTACGAAAAGAAGGTTTCGGGGATTTTGTGACTTAAGCCAAGAATGAAGCTATATCTGTCGATAACTGCAAAGTTTTTTTTTGGCTTTTAACGTAAATATTGGTACGCTTTGGGTATCTGATAGGCAAACAGCCAAGGTTCTAAAACCACTGCTGAATGACCGGCAATAAGAAATTTCTCAGAAAAGTTAACAAATTGAAAGAACCTACACAACCCAAATTATTATATATCGATAAGGAACTGCCAAGTGATCCCGAAGTGATTTATAAATCTATTGTCTCGCACTCGGTCTCAGAGTTCGGAGCCATGGATGTTGGCACTTAATTACAAATTGCAATAGATCGACTGTTGTCACAGCTCTCAAATAACTAAATGACTTTCAGTTGGAAATTTGCCGACGCATACATTCCTAACCATTATATGTTGATGTGGAACTTCTAATAGCGATCTTCAAGAAATTTATAAATCTCAAATCTAGCGTTCGGTTTACGCTGACTCAGAATACATGTATTTAGAAAGTCCGTGATATTACACGGGATGTATTGAATGCGCTTTAATTGCAAAAAGAAATGAAAAAAGAAAAAGAAAAAAAGGAAAAGAAATAAGAATTACATCGTAACAGACTGGCAGGGGTACTACTAGTTCGAGTTTAAGTCTTTCCTCTTTAAGAACTGTTGATAGCTAACAACTACTCAGCGAAGTGGAAGTAATAATAATAATAAGGACTTTATTTATAGAGGGGGACACGTAACAGCTGAAAAGCTGACAAACCTGTGGCCCTCTAACTAGATTATACAGCATTACAAAATAATACTAATAAATAGATAAATATACAAATAATTACAAAATTCTATGATAGAAATAGCAGGATATATTAAAAATATTCAGAAAGATAAAATTAATTTATAAAAAATTAAAATTAGATAATGTGCTATTGCTTAATATTGTTTCAAAGTTGTCCAGGTTTCTATATGAGCTTATAAAATACTTTTTCACAGCTGTTTTGAATAGTTTTATACTAGGCTTATTTTTGATATTATGGGGAAGGCTGTTCCATAACTTAACTGCGTCAACACTGAATGCCTTGCCACCATCGTTATTTCTTAGGTATTTGGGACACACTAAATTTAAATTGCCATGTCTAGTAGACCTATTGTGTACAGAACTGTTCGTCTTGAGCAAGTCTCTGATGTAAATCGGAACATCGCCTTTAAGGCTCTTAAAAATCATTGTACACTTATTTAGTTTGATTTCATCAAAAAAAGGCAACCAGCCTAGTTTACTAAAGTTTATAACACTTCTAGAATAAGAGTCAACTCCAAGAATTACTCGGGCAGCCCTTTTCTGTAACCTTAGGAGACAGTGGAGTTCTTTAGCGTCGCAGATATTCCAAACCATGCTCCCATACATAAGGACGGGTTTAATCAAGGCGTTATAGTATAAGAGTCTTTCTTTTATTGGAAGGTATCTCTTTATCTTCTTCAATAAACCAATACGCTGAGAAAGCTTGGCCTTTAGACTAGAAATGTGGTCGCTAAATGTAAGATCTTGATCGAGTGTTACACCAAGCAATTTATAAGAAGTTACTTGTTCTATTTCGGCCCCATCAAGGGTTATTGACAGGAGATTGCCATCCGCTAATGATGAATGTAGCCTCTTTCCGGTGATAAGTAATGCATTGGTTTTAACGGCGTTTAGGACCATCCCATTTTCGCTAGACCATTTACTTAATTTATCCATGTATTCTTGAAGACGTCGTTCCAATTCCAAAGGTGCATTATCGATATTAGCGCTGGCTTTAAATGTGGTGTCATCCGCGTAAGCATGAATAGTTGAGTCCGATCCAACAGCTTCGGGAAGATCATTGACGAAAATTAAAAACAGTAGAGGTCCTAATATGCTACCTTGAGGAACTCCATTGGTTAGCGTAAGTTGTGACGAAGTCGAGTTATTTACAGTAACACACTGTTTGCGATTGAGTAGATAGCTCTGCAATAGCTTTACAACATTATCTGGAAATCTATATGATCTTAACTTTACCAGGAGAATGTCATGATTGATCAAGTCGAATGCCTTGCTATAGTCCACAAAAACTAAGCCGCTGACTTACTTTCTAGGATAAACAAAATTCACTTGGCCCCCGGGGAAGCAACGACTTGACTTTCGACTCTCACATGATAAGGTCGTTCACCGTGAAACCGCAGCAAATGTGTGTGCCAGCCTGCCTGTAAAAATTATTTTTTGCAGTCATTTTCGAGTTGGGATGTATGAGAAACACTTTAAAAAAATAAAAATTAAAGTGACGAGCACCACAGGAAACAGTGAGGATTCCTTTACCTTGCCCTGCCAGGGCAATAAAACTCACGGTATCCCTTGGAGTCGGTCATTAGTCACTTACTTTACCAACTTTGCCAGGTGTCTACATTATTATTGTCTAGAAGCGAAAGTAAACACTATTAGTATGGTAGCTAGAGGGCAAAGGATGAGAAAATAATTAGTGCATCAGAAGAAACAAATGTTTCCTAGCATATTGGCTTCCGTTGTCAATTTTAACGTGCATGAGTCAAAAATAGGAACGCAGAAATACATGTATGGTACAGCAGATATATCTACCAATTGTGACTCATAAATGTACGAGTTAGAAGAAGAGAGGGAATTCTGTCACTTTTCATCTCTCTCTGTTGAAATTACATCCTGTAGCTCTTTTTTATTAGGCGAATTTCGCTTTGTTTGGTGGGAAAAGGTTGTCATCGATCCCGAATGCGACTAATCGATACTCATAGAAATCTGTGTGCAAGAGAAAAGAGGTCCGGAAAAAAAAGAAAAATTCGAATGATCGAGGTTGTTTCTATTAATGTTAAACGCCCCCACGCTTTACTCGAATGTAAAGAAAAGTCAATCAGAAATGTTAGTCATGATCAGTACTTCGTTCAAAGCTGACTATTGCTTGATTTACGAAAGGGGTTCTCAAGCTGTTTCTTTTAATTTTTTCTTTAATTATTGTCTCATGTTTCATTAAAATTGTATGAAAAGCTGATAAAAGATTTTTTCAATAGAAAAATACGAGATGAGTGGAAAGAAACTGAAGGTCAGAATATACTGGTTTCAAGGAGGAACCAAGTTATTCAATTTGGAAAAAATTGGTTAATTTAAACTTAAGAAGAAGATTGCTTTCCAACTTTGATAACAACATAATAAAAACAATCCGAGTAATCAGGTTTGTTTCTAGCTAAATGCCATCACGCTTTACTCAAATGTAGAAAAAGCTAACCCCAAGCCGTGATCAGTACTTCGTGCAAAGTTCACTGATGCATAATTCATGTATGGGTTCTTAAGCTGTTTCTATTTATTTCTTTTAATCATTGTCTCAAAGTTCATTAAAATTGTATGAAGAGTTGACAAAAGAGTTTTTCGATACAAAAATACGAGAGGAGTGGAAGGAAACTGAAGGTAAGAATATAATGGTTTCAAGAAGATTGCTCTCTAACTTTGATAACAACATAAATCTTGAATAGTCAGCCACTTGGATAAATACGTTTGAGTGAGAAGTATATCTACAAAAGACCTTTACTACCGCATAAACGTGAAAGAAAAGTCGTGATCAGTACTTCGTGCAAAACTGACCAATGCATAATTTATGTAAGGGTTCTCAAGCTGTTCCTATTCATTTCTATAATTTTCATTGTTACCTAAGGTTCATTAAAATTGTATGAAAAGTTGATAAAAGAGTTTTTCAATACAAAAATACGAGAGGAGTGGAAGGAAACTGAAGGTAAGAATATACTGGTTTCAAGGAGTAACCAAGTCATTCAATTTGGAGAAAATTGGTTAATTTAAACTTCAGAAGAAGATTACTCTGTAACTTTGATAACAACATAAATCTTGAATAGTCAGCTGCTTCGATAAATATGTTTGAGTGAGAAGTATATATACAATAGACCTTTATTACCGCATAAAAGTGAGAAGAAAAGTCGAGGAAAAGTAAGAAAAGGAAGGTGAGTGTGAGTGAGAAACTCGATGTATTTACTTACTATCGGGTGAGTAACTTGTGCAAGCCAGCGGACAAGAATTAATCCTCAGCAGGGAAGATTCCTTTATATGACTTGGTACTTAAAAAAGCGCTCGTATTCCTTCGCTGAGTCAGACAAAGTGTGATTAGCAAAATCCTAAATTCACAATCAAAACTATTTGTTGCATCTAAGAAGGGAGAAGGGCAACATTTGTCATCTGTTTTTCTTTCTTTCTCAAATTACAGGATGAGAGGGCTTCTAGTTGGTTTCCATTTCTATCCCGTTCTGTTGAGTGGTGTTGCTTTGTTTCTTGTGGCTTTCAGTTCGTCTTTGCACACTGACTTGAGCAGGGACGAGGTTTTCGAGCGAATTGAAGGTAACACGTAAATGTGTTATACCTCTGGACACAGTGATATTTTGTTCCGGTGGGATGTGAGTGTTTCAAGTGCCATGGGATCGGAAAACTGGGATCGGTTGACACAGATTTTGATCCCTCCCCCACCCCCCTAATAAGACTTTGTGACATTCCTACAATCCCCTTCATTGGTAGTAAATTTCCATTCTTCCCCTTTTATACTCTGTTAGCCACAGCAGTTCGCCCTGGAAAAAAAATATAAGATCGCCCCAAAATTGGGTAAAAACAACAGGAACTTTCTACGTGCAACTCTCATAACTCTCAGGGCTTCTTCATATTCACCTTTGTACGATATCAAGAGTCAAGATGACCTCTTAAGACAGGGTAATTAACTACACACAAACTGTATTATTAAAGTATCTAAAATAAACTGAGTGATGAGAACATGAAACACGATTGTGTTGTTTTTCAAGGATTTGAGCTAATTGGTCACATCACCAAGACATTATATGCTGACGAAATAAGCTGTGGATTGAGTTGCCTTCGAGATGAAAAATGCCAATCTTACAACAGCAAATCCGATGCTAGTGATATAAAGAAGGAATGTCAACTGAGTAATCAAACCAAAAATTCAAGTCCGGAAAACCTGAGGTGTAACCCACGTTCTACTTATTATGGAAGAGGTACTGTTGAGTAAGGTGCTTAACATTATGGAAAAGTTAGAGGAGGTGGGAGGGTATGAAGGGTCGGAGTATTTTGGTTGTCACGATAAAGTTTTCCTGATCCTTCCATAACGTTCCGAATTATTCTATCGATCTTCCTCATTGGCCGCCAATTTTCTTTAGTCCCACGTTTAAACTCTGTTAGCGACAACTGATCCCCTCTCCATTCCCTTGGAAAAAATGATATCCCCCCAAGACTCTCCCACCCCTCCCACCTCCTCTTTCCATGGCCAAGTCAAAAATGGTGACCTATTTCTTACTTTTGATTAGCGCTTTTCAGAGCTCTCTCATGTCACGTGTACATCCATGTATAATCTTTCCCTAGGGGATATGAAGTTTAAAATCTCTTGCTTTTCCTTATAATGAAAGGTTTTCCATATTCTTAGTTTGAATTGAAAGATGCTATGGATCCTGCAAAGATTTATAAAATCTAGAGCTATCTAACAATTACGCGAAAAGAACTACTTATGGAATAAGACCTCTGTGGCGTGTTTTGTTTCTTAATTTGATCCTCTCCTCGTTTCAAATGATTATTCTTCCTTTTTCCTATGCAGGTAAACGAGGTTGGGATTTTGCTCATCCGGCCTTCTCCTGTAAAGAAATTCTGGACTCTGGACACTCCAAAGGTAAACGAGGTTGGGATTCTGCTCATCCGGCCTTCTCCTGTAAAGAAATTCTGGACTCTGGACACTCCAAAGGAGACGGGGAGTATTGGATCGACCCTGAGAAGAGTGGAGACCCTTTGAAGGTCTATTGTGACATGTCAAGATATGGTGGTAAGAAAATGAATTTTTCTTTTGAGACACGAGGACTTCAACAGGAGTATATTTGGTCTTGGCTATTCTTGCTTTCTCTACAAATATCCTTCTTATGTTTTGAATCAAATCTACTGCAGAATTCTTGAAACTGATTAGTTATCATCAGCCGGCCGATTTGAGCACTAATAGGACAGTGTACGCGTCATATTTGTAATTGAACAGTGTAGTAGGACCGTTAAAGGGATAGTTAACACGTCATGCCTGTGTGAGTGGACAGAACGCGTCATGTGCGCGCTGTTGTCTCGCATTTCGCCGAGTTAACTGTTGTTTTTTTGTTTTTATGAAAACGTATAACCGATGTATAGTTTCTTTCTCAATTTTTGTCATAGTTTTGATTAATTGGTAACAGGCCTTCTTGTCGTCCAATTCTGTCTGTAGTGATACGAGTGATTAACAAATCGGACTCCCGCTTTGCGGTCGTACGATTCTGTAAATCACTCGTATGATTACAGACCCAATTGGACTCCACTCGGTCCTGTTACTATTTAATATGTCCAAAGTTCTAGTTACATGGATGTCACCAGATCATCTAGGTTTGTTTTATTTTAGGAGGTTGGCT